TACAAAGTGTGCAATGCCAAGTAAAGTCGGCTTTGTCCAGAACTGATCTAGCATTGCTGCTAGATTGGAGGTGTTCGGGGCTGAGTTTCCTGACACCAATTGATCAGTCCTTTGAAGACTCTCCAGCTCTGGAAATCCCTCACTACTGGATTGGACCTGATTCTGGTGAACCATTCACTCTGGGCACTTATACCCTACCCACTTCACTGGCAGGCGTCTCCTGAAGTCCCTTAAACGAATGTTTAAAGGAGACCCCCCCCCCTCCAGATTAGTAGAGAACAAACAGGAGGCCTCCCAGCAGGCTGAAGTAGACTAACAAAAGAAGGTGAGCCTTAGAAAACAACTTTCTCAGTCCTCAGTCTGGCACCTTTGTGCACAGCACAGCCTAGAAGGTTCTATACGACCTGGAAGGCTCTATACAGACTGAGATAATCTGTACAGCCTAGAACACTCTGTACAGTCCGGGACACACTGTACAGCCCAGGACAGTCTATACAGCCTGGGACACTCTGTACAGCCCGGAACACTCTGTACAGCCTAGGACACTCTGTACAGCCTCGAATACTCTGTACAGCCTGGGACACTCTGTACAGCCTGGGACACTCTGTACAGCCTGGGACACTCTGTACAGCTGGGATACTCTGTATAGCCTGGGACACTCTGTACAGCCTGGGGCACTCTGTACAGCTGGGATACTCTGTATAGCCTGGGACACCCTGTACAGCCTGGGACACTCTGTACAGCTGGGATACTCTGTATAGCCTGGGACACTCTGTACAGCCTGGGACACTCTGTACAGCTGGGATACTCTGTATAGCCTGGGACACCCTGTACAGCCTGGGACAATCTGTACAGCTGGGATACTCTGTATAGCCTGGGACACTCTGTACAGCTGGGATACTCTGTACAGCCTGGGACACTCTGTACAGCTGGGACACTCTGTACAGCCTGGGACACTCTGTACAGCTGGGATACTCTGTATAGCCTGGGACACTCTGTACAGCCTGGGACACTCTGTACAGCCTGGGACACTCTGTACAGCCTGGGATACTCTGTATAGCCTGGGACACTCTGTACAGCCTGGGATACTCTGTACAGCCTGGGACACTCTGTACAGCTGGGACACTCTGTACAGCTGGGATACTCTGTATAGCCTGGGACACTCTGTACAGCCTGGGACACTCTGTACAGCCTGGGACACTCTGTACAGCTGGGACACTCTGTACAGCCTGGGACACTCTGTACAGCTGGGACACTCTGTACAGCTGGGATACTCTGTATTGCCTGGGATACTCTGTACAGCCTGGGAGGCTCGACACCTACAGCCCTGTACCCTGCACAGACTATGGGATCCAGACTTCCCAACATGCTCTTCTGGAAGGAATAGGAGAATGCATCGCCAACATACAGAGCTCTGGAAATCCATCTCATAGCCTCCACATTTTCCTCCCTCAGCCTGCTGAGAGCATTTTACATTCCTCTGTAATGAAACACAAAGCAGTCTACTGAACCCCTAAATCTAGGAATATATACCCAATGATTTCCTATAGAGTAGAACCCTATTATTGGCATTTTCAAACTCTGTTTAGAATACCCCTAAATCTATCAACTACCATTCCCTACCTCTTTCCATTTCCTAGATTTTTATTCTTTCCCAGAGCATTCAGGTTGCTCCATTCTAATCCAGCACAGGACACCTGACAACTCTCACTTAGGAATACAGGAATCTTGGCATTCCTTTACCTCTTAATCATAGTCAAAACAAGGACTAGAGTATTTTCACCTTCATATTATGTAATAATAATCAGAATTAAAATTCAGGGATGAGGTAAGGAGTTGGAACATTTTGGAAAAGGGTGGGAAAAAAATGAGGAATGCCTATAAGTAAATCCAGAAGCCTATAAGTAAATTTATTATATATACGTGTGCACATATGTATATGTATGTGTGCATGTATATATATGTAGACATATATGTAAACATATATATACACACATAGGCATATGGTGTGTGAGAGAATTATTTTTTTCACTGAATTGATTAGCCAATATTATAATAGGTTTAAAAAGTTCTGCAGAGAAAGGTAATATTCACTGTGCAGATGGAGTAAATGAATGAGGGCTGAGATAATCAATATGGCAAGTGGTCATAAAGATCAGGCAGCCATTTGACAAACCCAAACCTGATCTTTTTGGGAAATGATGTGAGAAGGATAAATACAACCAGATGGCAGTCATAAGCTCGCATTGCGCTGTATGAGCTGAATAACTTCTCACCACACACGCTCAAACAAGCTACGCATTCCTGACTGGCATAGAAATCACAACGAAACGGTTGAGTCCCTAGAGATTTGGCATGTCGGAATGCTAGTAATGGTAGATAAGAGATAAGAGGGCACAGGAAAGTTTTTCATTAAAAATGGTAAGCTGACCACTTGGGTATTACTTGAAAAGATGGTATACTTTATGTACCATATTTAAATCAACACTATACAAGAAAACAGCATGATAACTGTGAAGATATCAGGGAGAAATATCATGATTAAACATGGATAATCATCCAAACAAATGAGCATAAATTAGTAAAGTTTAAACAAATTAGTAAATATATATATATATATATATATCCTGGAAATATATATATATATCCTGGAAATATATTTATATATATATATTATATATATATATTTCAAGGATATATATATATATATTCTGGAAAGAGCGAATGGAATGCTAAACTTATGTGTTTGACTTGGAAAAGACTTGATAAATATAAAAAATGTCAAACCAGAGATATTTAAGGATGGATGATAATTGATTAAAACTGGAGCCCAGTAGAACACATGAGAATGGGAGAAGATAAGGATTCTTTATTTTTTATCACTATGTCATCTAATCAGGAGTTGCTGGTTAGCTCTATCCTTTGAGGGTTTTAATTCTTAAAATTCATACATCAATACATAAACCTTGAAAGCTAAGTCATATTCAAGTAAATCATCTTTTGAAGTCATGAAGGAAGCATTAAAGTTCAAGACTAATTTGTTTTCAATTAAGTATTCTATATGCTCACCAATGCAAATGTCATCAGTTAACTATAAACCAAAGACTAATAGTCATAATTAATATTTATAGGCTACTTGAAAGGAATAAATTTTGACATAATTTAAGATATGAGCAATTTCTCCTAGCTTAAAGATTGCAAAGCTGAGATATTCTTTGTTTAAGTCCAATGTTAGAAGCTTGTCAGTTAGGAAAGGTGAAAAATAAGAAATCAAATTCAAATAATGTGTATCAAATAATTTCAGCATCCTCTTCCTTCATCATTTCTTTGTAGGTTACCAGGATGGGGAAGGAAATGACTGTCCCATAAAACCAAATTGATACCAGATTGGTAGTGTGCTTCACTGTGTCAACCACAGCTCATAGTAGACCTTAGTGTGGTGTGCAGCCTCCACACAGGCTACAGAGATGCCATCAGTCCAGACACCAGCTCTTCCCTTTTGCAGGCACAACTTTTCCTTTTTAATGAGATAAAAACATTGGATCTCTGTTGTGCCATGATACATTCTGGAACGTTCCGAAAGGGACCAAAATCTGACATGATAGCTTCCTCACAGTGTGCAGATTTTACTTTCACCACTGTTCACGTGTTTGTTCCTTGATGTTCATGAGTCTATTAAGCAGAAATCATTCAAAGTTGTCTCACCCAGTTCTGATAGGTTTGTGCTGAATGTCACATGTTAAGTAGCTGTAATGAAACGCAAAGGAAAAGCCATTTTCTTTTCTTTTGGCCTGCATTTCAGAGATAAAAGGCCACTTAGAACAGGCATTTCAAACATTTCACTGTATAATAGCATTTTATATATATTTTAATATCTCTAAGTTTTTAGACTTTGTGACATGCACAATGAATTATAATAAGCTTGTGTGTCTTTTAAATATCAGCATTCTTCTCAGAGAACCAGTGCTGAAGTATTTCTGTAGTTTAAATGTTCTTGCTGGATTTTAAAAGAAAGCAGTTGCTTAACAACTTCGCATTAAATATCAAAGGATAATGTAGCATTTAAAGCATTTTGTTTAATTATGTCTGGCTTCATATAACTCAGTCCTTGGTTAATACAAAGTTAGTACATCGGGATGGAAAAAATTAATGAAATTGCAGTTTTGATATTAAAGGTAATACATTTCTAATCAAAGAATGGAAACCTGGGGTTTTTTCCTTTACGATACTATCTGTAGTTTGCAGCCTATTAAAGCTTTTTCCGTGTGCTTTTTTCTCCTTTGTGCCTACGTCACCGATTTAAGGTGCTTATTTATTCAATTTTAAAAGAAAAGAAAAGGTTATGTGAAGATCCTGCTAAGCACGAAGTAGGGTTAGAGAAATATTCATAGGGGAGTGACGAGGGGTGGCTCCAGAGAAGGCAGTGTGGTGGCACCGGAGGATCAGAAAGAAGAGATTATCTCAGCACTTCCCTAGAATCTTTTTCTGCCTAAGAAATTTGGGAGAATGCGAAAAAGCAGCAGCCCAGCATTCTTGAAGGGGCGTGGCTTCTCTCAAGAGGCTGTCCAATCGAATTCCTTCAGAGGGAGCCATCCCGAGAAGATTGATGAGCGTTGCTAGGAAACAGGAGCGTCTCCCTCCCTGCTGACCCAGAGATTGTGCTGCACAAGCCTCCCCAGGGGCTCGCAATGTGCTGTTGAACCGCGTGTGGGGCAGAGCTGCGTACCGGCCTCCCCGGTTGACTCGCTCACACTGCTCCCTCTTTCGCGGTCTCCTCCAAGTGTGGTCAGCGCCTCACACAGGGACCACAGGAGAGTTCTTACTAGGAATGACTGTGGGTCCCTGCCCACCCGCGTGCCATCAGCATTAGCAGAGCTTCAAACTTGGAGCCACCTCCCTCTCTACCTCCCCACGCCCCTTCACGCCACTGCTCCGAAATTCGCCGACCTTTGCATGCATTGCCTAAGGGCTGCAAACCTTGAGGCAGGAGAAGCCAGAAACCCAGCCAGGCTTTCCGTATTGTAACCCTCAGGTCTAGGTACAGTAGCTCACGGAAGACTCTGCAGATACACCCCTATAAACGGAGGGAAGAAGGGGGGAGGAAAAGGAGAAAGAGAATGAGGAGAGGATGTCAGAAGGTCCGTGCCTCTCTGCCTGAGTCCCAGTTAGACTGTTTCAGCCTGGCCAAGGTGAAGGAAAGTTGCTTCTCAGCCTAGGAAGTGGGTTTGGCTGCAAAGGGGAGGAAGGCGACTGGGCTCTGAAGCTCCCCTCCCTTCTGCAGAAGACCACTGGGTACCCTTCTTGCCAACCTCCTCCCGCTCTTCTCCTCCAGCCCTCCCTTTTCCCACTCCTCCTTGACTCGGAGGCCTGGATGCTGGGCCACCGGGCAGTGGTCCAGCGCGCAGCCGGGCGGGGGCGGGGGCAGGGGGCACTGTGACAGGAAGCTTCGCGTACAAGTTGGCCATTTCAGGGGCAAAATAAGTTCTCCCTTGGATTTAGAAAGGACAAAGGCAGCAAGCTCCCTCTTTTGTGTCGGATGAAGAGGACCAACCATGAGCCGGAGCTTGGGTGCAGGCTCACCGCCTCTACCACCGCGGTCAGCTCCAGTTCCTGCCAGGAGTTGACGGTGAGAGGTAAGAAGCCCAGAGGGGGATGTGTCCCTCTGGAGGGCGCCCAGCGAGGGCGCAGGAGCTCGGGTACGGCGTGGGGCAGGCAAAGCGGGGAAAGTTGAGGCAGAGCATGGACCGGTCTCTACATACCTGCCAGGGGTGGGAAAACGTGGGTCACCGGCGCAATGTGGGTGTGCGTGAGAGTTTGTGTGTGCGCGCGCGCTACTGTCCCTCCAGGAAGAGGCCAATTTCGGATCATAGATCTGCTACTAAGGAGCGAGAGGTACAGGGACTAATTGGAGGGATAGGTCTCATTCGCCAACCGCCTCCATCCAGCTCTGCGCTGGGCTCAAGATTCCTTCGCTTGGGGGTTTAAAAGGCTTTGTGCACAGGAACTGTGTGTTAAGCGGCTGACACCCTGCTAGCTCCATGTGGGTGTGGAGGTTGCCAGGCGAGGTGGGTAGCGGTCAGCAGGACCCCAATGCTGCCAGGATGAGCTCCGCAGACAGGGGCAGACAGGGGTTCACCCCCAGGCAAGAATGCTTGGAAATCACCCCTAACTCGCTACCCTTTGCTCCTTTTGACTTGAAGGGGGGGGGGGCAGACTCAAAGCCTATCTTCCCATTGATCCCGTTCTATTTTCTTATCTGACAGTGAGATAACTCGGAGAGGGCGGGAGATCCGCGGTCCAAAAATAGACTAGGTGATATATCCAATAAGCTGGTTTCTTAGGAATTTCCCTTAGATCTCCTTCTAGTTCCTCCAAGAGGTAACGAACACGCAAGTGTCTCTTTAAGATGAGATGGACTGAAGGGGTGAACACCTTCTTTCAAAATATCTTAGAGTACTGTAAATTTTGAAGATAAATAAAACCCCACCTTTTTCAAGATGTGTGGTCACCGATTCAACTAATGAACTTGTATACTATCTCTACTCTTGTTCAAACAGTAATAGATGTATGTTTATAGATACCCTGAATGTATACATACCCAATGTATTCATTCATTGGTACATTGCACGTTAAGATTTTTGTGAGTTGAGATTAGCTGGTTACTTGGAGTTTCTTTGCTTGAATTTCTTTGTGCTCCTGGTCTCCAGAAGCGCTCATTTGACTACTTTGTTTAGGAGTGGGTGTGGGTTATACCATTCTTTTGAACATATTCATTTACCTGTCTTAGTTTCTAGATTGACTTTGGTTTATCCTATCACAGTCTGAGGTTGTTGCTTGATGCTATTGTGTATATAAGTGTAATAGATGTCAGCATTACCCGAAACACCCAGATTTCCAGTACACTAGATGCCTGTGGATAGCAATCCCTACCAAAGGGAGTGAGGAAACTGATGAGGGTTCTGTACTGTTATTTGCCTTGTCTTCTTCTAAAACCAGCTGAATATAATTTGACAATCTTGAAGGTAACGTACAGCAGACCTTAGTAAGGTGGCATTTTCCTCTTTGTTATAGCAATGTCTTACGTTTGTGAAGGTTCCCCACACCTGTAGGTTTGAGGTGTCCACACCATTAGATTCTGATTCCCCAAACAGGAGTACAAGGATATTTTGAATAGGCATGCCCTGGGCTCTCTTGATTTATTTATATGCTAAGTGATACGTGAAGTGCTCATGATGCCAAAGGACTCAAGAAGAAATTTTGAGACGTATTCCCGCACACATACAACAAAGAAAACTGTATCTACACTCATAGGGGCCTAAAACAATATGACAAGACAACTTTGTCTTAAGTCCAACCTACTCACACACACCCAAAAAAAAAAATGGTGCGAACATCTACCTCTGTAAGTTGTATCCTTACCAATAAATTGTGAAACTTAATGCATAAAAAAATAACATTTGTCAGTCAGTGCACAAAGGAAAGACCTGCTCCTCTATTCAGTATTTTTCAGTTATATGCCATCAGTACATTAAGAAAATGTGTGAATAGGCTGCAGATTTTATAAATAATAAAAATATATACTATGGCATACTATGTGACTCACTCATTGTGTACAATGGCTACCTTTAAAAAGTTACAGTGTACATATGGGGGAAAGTATAAACCTTGTTACTTATTTCAACATTGCCTAACATCAACAACACTTCTGATTTAATGTCATTGCCATTAAAATTGGTAAGCTAAACAAATGCAAAGATAACAAAAAAACAAGTGATTTTTTTTAATGTTAGAATTAATACCTATGTTGAAGGAAAGAGCCAGGGCATTAAAAGGTCACCTGTCTCTCATCTCTACTGCAAGGCAGGTGATCAATCAGAAACACACATTTAGTCGAGGATTCTCTAGTTCTGCAAGATTCACAGCAATAATAACTTACAGCTTCAGTGGAAATAGTCTCCTCTTCTTTCAGCTCTAACTTTATTTCAAGTTAAATGATCCCTTCTTTGTGTTCATTCTTGTAATCGTAGGTTCTGAAATGAGCCATGATCTTTTGAGGGCTCTAGCTAGTAGCTATCAAGATATATCCTAGTGGCTTATGCATGAAATGTTTCAGTTCGTTTTCTGCTCTCAATATCATCCCAAGAAGACATTCAAAAAAAGAAAAAAATATCTAATTTCTGTGGCTAAAAGAGGAGGACAGGTTACATTTCCCCGGGGTGGAATAGGGCCAGAGCTATAGAGTCAAAACGTGTCTTCTCTGGAGTCAGTTCCTAAAAGGGGGTTCATGTTTACACACAGTTGTCTCCCTTTTGTTTCCCACTTCTTTTGAGAGTCTGCTGAATGTATCCAATTCTACATTAGATGAATTTGGTGAAATTGCTCTCAAGAAGCAGTGTAAAATGATAGAAGATTATTTACTGAGGAGCACACAAAATGAATACAGTCATAGTAACTGAGACCACACAAACCATCAGATCATCTTCCTCCTGCCACCTCTAATGTAGGCTAGGAGCCTACAGCATTGCTATATTTTGGAGGGCTTTAGTCCAGTGTGATTTTTAAATAGCTCATGTAATGATTTCTTCCAGATTTTTATGGAAACACCATTTCATATTGTAATGGTTCTCTCTGTTAAGAATTTTGTGGCATTCGGCCTAATTCTTCCATGAATTTGATTTACCTTATTACTAGGTCCTTATCATTTACTTCTCTGGGCTACTCGACCCTCTTGTATAATTTAAGGCCATAATGCAACATTTATACAGGACTTGTAAAATGCATGCTTATAAAAGAGAGCACATGGTACCAATTCTATATCCAAATATTTGCTCAATTATATATATGTGTATGTATATATACATATATATACATATATATGTGACCATTTACAGGTATTTGTGTGGCTATATGTCCTCACAATCTATCTGATTGCCCTAAGAGAGGAACTTGTCTTTGCTGACACTAGTGACCTATGTGACTATGCAGATGATCTTGTATAAGTAAGCTCTGAGTGGTTGCACGTTTGTGAGATATTTTCATTGCAGATTTGTTGTCAACAGAGCCCTGTCACCACCCACACTGCAAGAGCGTTTTGTGACATGCTGGTCAGATGCTCCAATGAGCCCAAGAAGCTGTTGTCATGCAAACTCAACTACTGAGATGAAAGTGATTTCCATAATTAATAGAATGTGCTAAGAATGTAATGGTGTATGGGAGTTAGTTGAGTGTGAACACAGCATAGTAATTCTGTTAGAATTTTCAGTGATCCCTTCATATTGATACAAACTAAAAAGGCCAGAATTAGGAATACATTATTCAGAGCTCTGTATCTTGAAAAGTAAGCTCACATCATGCATATACTAACATAAAATATATGTAGGCTTAAATGGAGGAACCATATGTGAAGGTTACTTTAAAAATAAAAAGCCTGAAATAACCACAAGGCGGGGGGGGGGGCAAGATTTTATTTTGTTCACTTAAAATCTGGTTCCCAGACATCCTTGTGTAGGCTTCTTTAAGATTCTCCAGCAAATATCTCTGTAGCCTCGCCCTCCCACTCAATTGTTTCTCCCAGTCCCAGGCAGTGAAACACAAGCTTTGCTAGACAGCAGAGGAGCAAATGGCTAGGAAGTCCCTTCCAGGGTACACTTGGTGAATCCAGCAGTGGCTGACTCTAAATGAGGTGAATCAGCAGCCAAAAGCACAAAGTGCTGCTGTCTTTCTACCTTGTGGGGCATCAGACTACACAGAGACATCCGTGCAGACAAAGGGAGCCATGGGGACAAGGACCTCTAGAAAGCTAACTATAATATTAAGGAAATTGAGTTGGATTACATGGAGCAAACTATTTTAAGTCAGTGTTGTCCCTTCTGAAGTTGTAAAATGTGTTTATAGTGCCATTTATCACATTGTGGCAAGTATCCTCAAAATGATTTTCCCTAGACACAAAAGGAAAATCAATTTTCTTGGTATAGGAAATGTAGACCATTAATATACTTGTGATTTCACCCTGGAACCAGAGAGGGACTCTAAGAGGTGATGTTCCACATAGACTTTGTTTTCTTATCAAATCAGTAGCCCTATTACAAAACCGGAAAATCCCCCACTGTACTTTACACAAACACACCTAGAAACTGTTCATATGTAATCCATACAAAGTCTACACCAAGACAGCATGTTTCCAAACAAAGCCACCTGTGAAGATGGTAACTCTTCAGAATGGATAAGCAGTTTTCATGCTTAGTTCCTTGTCAGAATATATTTTTATTATCATTGCTTTGTTTTAGCAGAGAAAGCCATTTGGACAAGCATAGATATTCACTGAATTTCGGAAATCTTGAAACACAGTTTTTAAGAACTTACAAGTTCTTACATCACAGGATTACTAAGATAACTATTTCTAGACCAGGGATGAGTTTTACAGTTTGTGGAATATTTTTGAAGAAATTCACTTAATACAAAGACTACAACCAGAAAAATCAGCTATTAGGGAACAAAGAAAAAAGCAAAACCAAAAACTGATAAAAAGTATTTATTAGCATCTGTTAAGAACAAAGTAAGATTTAGAGTATGTAGTGAGGGCACAAAAGTGTTCAAATAAATACAAAAACGTACAAGCATATATAAAGTTGAA